CAAAAATTTATTTGCTATAGCGCGCCCCCCCCCCCCTGTGTGTGTCCCTTGTTGTGTTATGTGCGTCTTTTCCGGCGAGCCCTGCGTGGCTAAAATTGCACGCAGCGATTTTGTCAGCCTGCCGTTTTGAACATTACCGTTTTGCAGACTGCCGTTTTATAGATTGCCGCTTCGCACATTGCTGCCTGACCGAGAGGTGTTTTTTTTTTTTTCGCTCGATCTCTCCACCATTTAGGCGCACTGCTGCACCGACCAAGAACGAAGAGGCAAAGGGCCTCCAAGCCAACCATGTATTCACAAGGATAGAAATTTTTTTTTTTTCCATTTTTTTTTGGTCACAACAACATTTTTGAATTTGTATTTGAGGACAAGGAAGAGTTGCTTCAATGGACAGAAATACATATTTATTTTTTTTTACAAAATGCTTTCCACAGTGTGTACAGAAATACATGCATGTAATGTCTCACTAGTTGTTTTGTGTCCCAGCACCCTCTTCCTTCTTCCTGTCTCCTCTTTGCTCCTTCCCCTATGTGTATAAAAAGCTAGCACTCTCTCTTTTGGAGCATGAAATAAAAAAATGGGAAATGCAATAAATAAACTGATTGATCATTACAGTAGTGTAGAGAAGAGGAAGAAGAGCGAGTACAAGTTTGGCAAGGTGTTGGGCTGCGGGTCCTTCGGGTGAGAATTGAGCGCAGTGAGGAGTGTACACGTGTTTGCGTGTTGGTGGCTACCCGTATGCACATTATTCGTTACCCGTTTGCATGTTAGTGGCTACCCGTATGCACATTATTCGTTACCCGTTTGCATGTTAGTGGCTACCCGCTTGCACATTATTCGTTACCGCTCATGACGCCGCTACACCCACCGCAGAGTCGTGCGAGAATGCGTCAACAAACAAACGAAGGAAGTGTACGCCGTGAAAATCATTAAAAAAAAAAAAAAACACAAAAAAAATTTCAATTTTGAAAAAATGGTCAAAAATGAAATAAAGTATCTCTCCGTAATGAGCCACGAAAATATTATCAAGTTCAAAGACTTTTTTGAAGACAAATACAAGTTTTATATTATATTGGAGAAGTGTGAGGGGGGCGAATTGTTTTATACAGTCGTGAAAAATAAATGTTTAGTGGAGAGTGAGTCCATCCAAATTGTACGCCAGGTAAGGGTCTCTCGTATTACTCGAGTGGCCACTGCGAGGAGGCTTTTTATTTGAATAAAAAAAATTTTTGTCTGACTTTTTTTTTTTCCACTTGACATTTTCCCCTCAGATTTGTTGCGCACTGGAGTATTTGCACTCGAGAAACATTATTCACCGCGACATTAAGGTAATGCGAGTGGAGCCATATGAATGCAGTCACCCGAACGGTGGAGTAACCTCAGCGGAGTGATATGAACGGAGCAATGTAAACGGAGGAATGTTCCCCCTTTCTTTCCCCCCCCCCCCCCCCGCAGGCAGAAAACTTCCTGTTTAAAAATAAAAACTCAAAAAGCATCAAGTTGATAGACTTCGGAATGGCCAAAAAGGTGAGTGCACGTGTGGACCAGTGGACAGCGCGGCTCCTACTATTGCCACGCGCGATTGAGCAACTCACACACACACGCTGAAAATTTATCCCCCCCCCTCCTACAGGTGAACTGCGAATACCTAACCGAACTGTGTGGCTCCCCCCACTACATTTCGCCTGAACTGATCAGGTAAAAAAAAAAAAAAAAAAAAAAAAAAAAAAAAAAAAAAAAAAAAA